TTTCACACAGTAGTGGTATTAACTGACAAAGATGGAGAAACTGTCAAAAAAAAAAAAAAAGGCCAAATGAAATTGAAAAAGCAACTATCCATTGACTTTCAGGAATTGAGGAAGGTAGCAAAGATAGTGCATATTCTGTAAAATAGTGGTGTTTTTCTGGAAGCTGTGTTTGGGAGCTCTGGGCTTATTCCCAAGTCTCCAAAAGCAGAAAGTTTTCCAAGCTTCCATACTGTCCAGCTGACAAACCGTAGTCTCATTCTGGTCAAGGACCAGGCAGAATGCGTGTGGGTCCATACTGTTCCTTCCAGGTGACTAAAATAGACTTTCCTATGTAGTCAAGACTGTCAAGGACAAGTTGCAGTTTTACACAGTATTCCTCAGGGGTAGAGATTCTTCACCAAAAGTTGTAAACTATTGCTAGATCTAACCATGAGTATTTTTTATTTTTTTCTGCAAAGTCTAGATGTCTGATAATATATTTAAAAGAAGTAGGGTTTTTTTCTTGTTATTGTTCCTTTAGATTTTTCAGTTTATGTATTAAATCAGGTATTAACACACGCTGGAAGGTCTTTCCCTAATTCCGTGTTTCTTCACGGCACTTACCACCTGTCATACTTTATTGCTTTGTTTAGTGTCTGTCTCTGTCTCCTGAAATGTAAGCTCATGAGGGCAGGGATATCTGTTTAGTTTGTTATTAAATCTCCAATGATCAAAGCAGTATTTGGTACAATTAGGGTCTCAGCAAATATTTATGAATAATAATGAATGGATATATATATCCATTATATATGTATATGTGTGTGTGTATATATCCATTATATATATGTATATATGTACATATATATATAGGTATATATATATATGGATGGCTGGGCAAATGGACAGATGCATCACAGTTGACAAGGGCCCATACCAATTTTAGGATTTCGATAAATGTCACCTTCTGAGTTAAGTCTTCCCCTAACTACCTTGTTTGAACTTGAGGTCCCACCTCAGCCCTCTTTCGGACCCCCTCTGCTTCTACTTTGTCCATGAAACGTATGACCATATAAAACACTAGACATTCTGCTTCTCTTTGCTTAGGGTGCGTGGTCTCCATCCTCTAACGACTCAATAGAAAAACATGGGCATATATAAAAGCAGCAGAAGAAACCTAATAGAAAAATATAAATTAAAAACAATGCAAGAATGTTCAATCTCCACTAGTAATTAGAGAAATCCATGCTAAAATATAAGGCATTTTATATCCATCATTTTGGAAAAATTTAAAAGTCTGGCAATAGCAAATGTTGGTGATGCTATGAACTCATGCTGGATTTGTATGAAGTGCTACTGCCACTTTGTAGAGCCACGTGTTACATCTGAGAACTCTGAAGATGCCTACACCACAGAGAAATCTCACGTATATGCGTCCAGTAACTTTAACAATGTCCGCTGCAGCATTACTCCTTTTTACACATCTTGGAAACAGCCCAAGTGTTCATCCCTATGAATAAGTCAGAATATAAACATATAAAATACTATCTAAATGTTAAAATGAAAAAATTTAAGCCACTTCTATCAAAGCGGCAAAATCTTTAAAGCATATTTAAGAAAATAAACAAGGTTCAAATGGATGTCCACAGTGGGAAAGCATTTAAACAAAGTTTTAAAACATGCAAAACACTGCTAAATGTTTTTTTGTGGATGCAAGCATGTATTAGAAGCAGGAAAACATACATGGAAATTTAGGCCTGAGTTATTTTTGTGGGATTAGGAAGGAATTCATGGGATAACTTGCTTATATTTATAGTGTTTATTTTTAAAAGAAAATATCTGAAGCAAATATGACTGAATGGCAATATCTCATAAGGCTGAGTGACTGTACGTAAGTTTTGGTTATAATTATGTCTATACTCAACTTCATGCTTGAAATAGTTAATAAGAAAAGAAATAGGAGGGTACTTAAGTGTGACTGGCAGGGAATAAAGTTCAAGCCATAGCATATCAAATAATACAGTATGACATCGCAAAATTGCAAACTGAATTTTGTCGCTAATCACGACTGGATGCAAACCCAGATTCAGTACCTTCTTTTCATAACACTTCATGAGATTAGGCTTTGGAACCTGATGTTTGAGGTTTGAATATTGACTCTCGTACTTAATAACTATTTAAAATTAGGCATCAGTTTTCACATCTTCAAAGTGGAAAAATAAGATAAAATAGAGGAAATCTTCCCAGACTTGGAGATAAACCATGAGAGATTCTTAACTCCAGGAAACAAACTGAGGGTTGTTGGAGGGGAGGTGGGAGGGAGAATAGGGTAATTGGGTAATGGGCATTAAAGAAGGCACGTGATATGATGAGCACTGGGTGTTATCTGCAACTGACCAATTACTGAACTCTACATCTGAAACTAACTATGTACTATTGTATGTTGGCTAATTGAATTTAAAGTTTTAAAATATAGAGGAAATCAACAAAACCAAGAGTTGGCCTTCAAAAAGATCAACAAAACTTGCAAACTTCTAGCTAGATTGATTAAGAAAAAAGAGAAGACTCAAATAACCAAAATCAGAAATGAAAGAGGGGACAGTACTACCAACATTAGAGAAATAAAAACAATTATAAAGCAGAAAAATAGTACCTCCTCATAACAACTATTCTGAAGATGAAATGAGGTCATTATCTGTGTGGTGTTCAACATACGCCAAGGCACATAATAAGACAGAAAGCTGGTCTATATTATGAGCTCCAGTTTCTGATGTAAACAAGCATGAGCTTGAGGTCTATTTTGAAAGCCATGCTTTCTTTCGATTTATTTGTTTCGGATAATAATCCTACCAGGTTGGTGTTGTTATTATCCCATTTTATATGTAAGAAAACTAAGCCTGACAAAGGTCAAATAACTTGCCCAAGATTTTCCATCTCTTAAAAGAGAGATGAGATTCAAACCAGATCCACCTCCAGAAAAATATAACTGTAACTTAATATCCTGGGTCTATTTTACTAGTTTTATGAGAAAGCTAAGTTGAATTTGTAATCTATCTACAGTAATCTATTCTTTAGCTTTTCTTTTCTTTGAATAGGGAGTCAACCAGCCATTGCTGATTAAAACTAATAAGAAGTATCTACTTGAAGTATGTACATGTAAGCCCAAACATGTAAAATATCTGCCATAATGGGATGTTATTACTAGATAAATACCCTGCCTTAAGCAGAACCTTGGTCTTGGAATATGTTGAAAGATCAGTAGGCTGTGATATTCCATTATGTTGAGTTTCTCTCTCCCCCTCTTTTTTTTTTTTTTTTAACCATAGGCTCTTTTTCTTTTTTTCTTTTTTTTTTTTTTTAGTTTCACTGTCTTCCCTTGAAAAATGATTATCTTATCTCTCTGCTTTCCATCTTCTTCTATCTTCTGTGAATCCAAATGGAACTTAACTTTTATTGTCACCAATTATTTTGAATGAACACTTTTCTTAATGTAATTTTCATCAAGTCAGTTCCATTTATTAAGTCTTCATTCATTCATTCATCATTCATTCATTCTTTTATGCAGCAAACGTTAAGTGCTGACCATGAACTCATCTCTGGGCTACATTCCTAGGAAATAAGGGTTACTAAGACTAGAGAGAGCCAGAGGTAGAAATGGCAATCCCAGTACAGTGTGACCTGCAGATTGGAATTGGTGCTGGAGAGCATGGAGTCCCCCATTTAATAGGGGGATGCAGGAGAAGTGACACAGAAATGGCAATGTTGCACCTGAAACTTCTATCTGTACATTTATTTACTGTATAGAAAATAATGCATGATCTTTGTAGAAAACTTGGAAAGCATAAAAACAAGAGAAAGATAACCTATAGTCACTGTTAAACAGCTGGTATATTTTTTAAGACCAATTTCTACATGGATGCATTCAAATTTAGTAATTTTATTATATTACACATATTTTCTCAGATCCTGAAAATTATAAAAATTATTTTTATACATGTATAATATTCTTCCATGTAGAAATACTAACATTCACTTTATCATTCCCATATCAGTTGTTTCCCTCTTACGAATAACATTGTGTTGATAATCTCTGTGCATAAATATTGGCCTGCATAAATGATTATTTCCTTGAGAAGGAATCCTGAAGGTGAATTACAGATTAAAGGGTATGATCGCTTTTAAGACTTGACATTTTCTCCAGTACCCTCTTCTTTACTGATCTCAAGGCAAGAGCCCAAGCCTTTAAGGGAGTCAGATGAATTACAAATTGGAGAAGTTCTTTAAAAATTCCTACACACAGGGGGGCGCCTGGGTGGCTCAGTGGGTTAAGCCTCTGCCTTCGGCTCAGATCATGATCTCAGGGTCCTGGGATGGAGCCCTGCATCCAGCTCTCTGCTGAGCAGGGAGTCTGCTTCCCCCTTCCCCTCTACCTGCCTCTCTGCCTACTTGTGATCCCTCTCTCTCTCTCTGTCAAATAAATAAATACAGTCTTTAAAAAGTTCCTACACACAGGGCGACAGTGTGGCTCAGTCGGTTGACCGGCTACCTTCAGCTCAGGTTATTATCGCAGAGTCCCAGGATCGAGCCCAGCATCGGGTTCCCTGCTCAGCAGGGAGTCTGCTTCTCCCTCTGGCCCTCCCCCTTCTCGTGCTCTCTCTCTCTCTCTCAAATAAATAAAAAGAAAATATTTTTTAAAATTCCTACACACTTATGTGTATGTGTAGATATGCATGTGAGTGTATACACACATGTTCCTGAGGAAGAGATACCCACAGACACACACATATATCCTGATCCTTTGAGAGGCATTCTGTACCCCTCTCTTGCGGAGCACTTAAAATGGGCTGTCTTTGTTGATTTCCTTTGTCAGTGGTGGTGCCTTTGTTTTACCCACCTTTGTATATCCAGTGCCTGGTATGTGGTAAGCAGTTAGTAAATGCTTCTTGAATGAAAGGGGGGGAAGGAAAACAAGCACATTAAATAATTGTTTACTTTCTTAAACATCTTGTTTTATTCGTTTTCAGCATCCAGCAAGACATGGTGGTGAACCCTAGCTGTAAGTCTTCATGATTGAGCGACTCTTTTGCACAACACAAAGGTAAATATTTGAGGCTGGTCGACTTGCTGGTTAGTAGGAAAATCTTCCTCTCTGGGAAGACGACTCACAGATGTCTCTGAGTCCAATGATGGCTTTTGTGCTTTGTGTTCCTCCTTAAAACCCCCTGGAGTGTTCATGGAGCCTTTGGGAGTAGCTGCTTAGGATGGCTCTTCTCCTGCCTACTTTGTGTTTGCAGTTAGAGAAAGGGAATACTGACTCCCTTTCTTCTTTTCTTTAAGCACCTAGTAAGCGTCATTAGGAGTTTCAAGTTTTCCTGTCTGGATTTTCTGGCTCTCCCAGTAGGTGGTCTCAAATTGGTTTGATTTTAAACACAACTGTATCAGCTCTCCTCAAATGCCCTCTGTTTTAATATATTTACCAACAGAAGGAACCGTTCTCAGTTGTTGAAACTGAAGTCAAACCATGTAAGATAAATGTTTCTACGTAGAAAACAGACTTGGAGATTTACAAGCTTAAGGAACAAGTATTATTATTTTGAGGTCCTAAACTTTTAAATGATGGCGACACTGAAATCTCTACTTCATACCGGGAGCCAAGAAGGCACAATTGAAAATGCCTATTCCTTTGACAAATTAGAAGCATTCATTGCAGTATCTATTTCTTGTTTACCAGGGATAATGCTGAATGAGTCACAGACTGGGTAGATTGATGTCCCTTCTGACCACTTTTAATTAGCACTGCCTATTAGGATGAACAGAGTGTTGCTTTCCTGCCATAGATTACCCCCCAGCCCCCCTTAAATAGAACAGAAATCTTATTCTCCACAAGGTAATATTCATCTCTTCTCCAACCAGACAAGCATAGAAAATTAAACAATGGTCTGTTAAAAAGCCCAGATAATGTATTTATCATTTCCAGTTTATGTGAGTTTCCAAGGCAAATAGGAGTGGGAGCTATTCGTTATGGGACCTTGGGGAACAACGGGACTCGGGAGGGAGCTGGGAGGCAGGGGGATCTGAGACTTGTAAAAATTCATTAAAAATATGAGGTGCTATTGGAGACAGAGGAAATTAATTACTCTCCGGGACTCAAATGTCACTACTCATTTAAGTGACCCGGCAAGGAGGATGAGAAACCTGTTCTGCCAGGGTTTCTGTAGTGGAGAAGGCTGGGAGCTGGGATTCCTCAGCTGTCAATTTTTGCATTTCCTTGGTGACTTATTGACATGTTAACCTGGCTTGCGCCCTAGCCTCCTCTAATGAGTAGAGTTAAATGAGAAATAGGGGCTGGGATGGGGGGGCACTCTCCCCTGTAGTTGGCCAGGTTATGCAGACCAGCTCACCAGGCACGTAAGCAGCCGCGGACCTGAGGGAAGCCTGTAATTTACCGCAATGGAGAGAAGAGGCTGGTCATTTGCAGCTGGACAGAGTTTGGTCTTTTATTATTGCTTTTCCATCCACAAAGCTATTCTCTGAGGTGGAGTGAATTTGGAAAGACAAATTAAGGTTTTCTACCTAAGGAGGACCGGGGAGCAATAGCTTCTGAAAACAGTCATCTTTTCTAGATTGCCTGTGTAATAAGTCTCTCTAATGCATTCTGCCTATAGACAGAGGTTGAAAATATATAGATATGTGATGACTTAAAAGTTTAAAATCAGTAAACACTCGGAATAATGGAGTAAAAGCTTTCTCAGATGTGCGCCTTACCTAGACTGGGAATTCAAGATTTTATTCTTGAACTCTGCTACTAACCAGCTGTGAGAGGTAGCACAAGCCATCATAATGCTCCAAGCCTCTGTTGTATTATTTGTACAACGGGAACAATACTATCCATCTTCTGTGATCGTTAAGGACCGTGTATCCAAAAGAGCTTTGAAGGGTGGAAATACATAGGTGGGCAGTGGCCATATCACCTATTGGTATGTTTTGTTGTTTTAAAAGTCTTGCATTTTAAACACTGGTGCTGCTCAGTGATCTCTGTTCCTGTGTGGGTCAAAGTTGAAGGGCTCTGCAGGATTCTTTCTGGCTTGTTCCTGTGGGGAGGGTGAATCAATAGGCCAAAGAAGAAAGCACTGCTTTGGGAAAAAAAATGTTCACACGGTGTTAAAAAAAAAAAAAAAAAAAAAAAAAAGTGAAGCATCCTTTGGAGGGAGTTGGAGGTCTGGATGTTCACCTCCGAGAGTGGTCCTAAGTACCATGTCTCCAATTCAAGAAAGTCCTGTCCCAAGGTGCTTGTAATGTCATTAATAGAAATGTGGGAAAGTGCAGGATATAGACCTTCTGCTCAAGGAGCTCAGAGAGGTAAACAGGGATGGGGCAGACCAGGCAGAAATCCGGAAGAGCAATGCTGGGGTCAGTGCCGAGAGGGAGAGTGTCTCAGAAGATGAGCAGCCCTGTGCTGGGAGAGCAGGGGTTGGAGGCTGGGCATTGTGCAAAGCAGCTGCTCCCAGCCACAAGGAACCAGAGCCGCCCAGCTGCACATTGCAGATGCTGGTTTGAGAGCAGCACACTCGGCAACCTGAGTTTTGCACCCCGGCATGCCCTCAGTGATTTTCCAAGGCTTCTGTGCTGTTGTTGTCTCCTGGAAGTGGACTTGAGGGACTGCCTGCCTATTCTCATTAGCCAGCCCTGTAGTGACCTATCCAGAGCATGCACAGAAGACATCCCCAGGGACCCAACTCTGAATAATTGCTACAACTACTGTCCCCATTCCTGTGTGTTGTTTGGAGCTTTTATGTCACTTACCTTTTAAAATTGCTTGAAAGCTACCAATTGACGTAACTGAGCTATTGGCTCGCTATTTATTGTGTTAACGACATGTGTCCATTTGAATTCATTTCTAGCCATCATGTCATCATAGTGAGATACTAATAAGACAGGAAAATTTTTTTCACACCAGTGTTCCTCCCTTTTACCTTCCTTTGTGAATTCATCTCTTTGGTGCCTCCTATTTGCCCCCTTGTTTGTTTTATTTTCTCAGATTCTATTTACACTTCTACCTTCCCTCTTCTGATAAAATCACACATCCTTCAACTCAGTTGGACATAGGAGATCCTTGATATGGGCGAGGGGGTGGTTCAGTTGTAAAAACTTGGAACATTTTCTTAACCACATGGCAGATTTCTATATCTGGTATTTTTGCTGGTGGTCATGTTGCTGGTGGTCATGTTTGCTGAATGTCTTAGATTGGAATTCTCTGTTCTAACACATAATGGCTGTCGAACATCAAGCAAATCCATTTCTTTAGGCTTGAATTTTCACATTAGTAAAATTACAGTAAATTATAGTAATAATACTTTTCATACAAGATTGTTAAAAGAATTTAATGAGAAAGTGAATGAGAGAGAGTCTGGCACATTATAGATTACCAGTGAATGTTAGCTGCCATTGCTTATAATAACATATAAGGAGATATATATATATATATATATATATATATATATCCTCGAAATGTAAGAAGCAGATGTGTTGATCATTGGCAACAAGGAAGGGAGACGCTGGAAAAACACCCTCCCATTCTTTGGCTGGGCTTAGAACATGGAAATCCCTAGTGATGTAGGCACTGAAAGCAGCCAAGTGTGTGGGTGCACAGGAAGTCTTCCCCGGCCAGACAGAGACCTGGGTACTGAACACTGAGCTTCTGCTGGGCACCTTGAGAGCATGTAAGTCAACCCCGCCTCAGATACAATATTCCTTCCAGATAGTACGGCGGTTTGTAATATGCCAGCATGTCTCCATTGAATTGCCTCACTCAGAATTCAGTTTCCTTTATGTTTCCAATTAGGGTGGAACATGGGGGAGGTTCTTCGGAGACTGGAGGATAGAAGGGAACCGCAGCCACTCTGCAGTACACATGTTGTTGCTGACCTGCTGACTCCCCTGGTCGGCACAAAGCTGCATCTGGGTCCATGGCTGCTCTCTGTTTCCTCTAATCCTTCTCCAGCTTCTCCAACTCCTCATCCAGAAGTGTGTTCAGCTCCTTGAGAAAAGGCCCCAGCTGCAGCAGCTCACCCACACTGGCAAGCTGGGAAGCCGTGAAAGTCAAGGTTGCAGTTAGTTTTCATGGAGTCTCAGCGCGTGCTTATGGGTACCTGGTTGCTCCTGCTTCTCCCCATTATTTATGTCCATCTTTCCTTCCTAACAGCCTTCCCAGTGGACTTCAAGTTCCAGCATCAGACATGATTCAACAGACACACAGACCACTTAACCAGATCCCACAATTGCTTAAGGTCAAATTCCTCTTCAAGTAAATAATACATACATATTTATTTTTTATATGTGTGTGTGTGTGTGTATAGCATTTATTTATCAGAGGGACAGGAACAGAAGCAAGCACTAGAAGATTCTATACAGGTTTGGATATGTGTGTATATCTGCCAGGGTTTGTTTCTGCCTCCGTGGTTGATCTCTACCTGATACAGCAGCTCATAAGCTTTTCATAATGGAAAACTCTTCACTCCACAAAGCAGTCCATTCCTGTCCTACGTCCCAGCCACCATTCCTCTCTCTGTGATATGACACACACAAAAAAATTTAAATCTGTAAGCCAAAATATTGTTTTTTAGCCCAGGATGTATCTCACTTTCTTCTTGGGATTTCTGCCCCTCTCAACCCGAAATGTGTGCATAAACTCGTGGCTGTGACCTCACCCACTGAAATTTTTCCTCTCTGGTTTCTCACCTTTTGAAGCTTCAGAATTGGACTCTTCGTAAAATTAACCCTATAAATATGAATATACTAGAAAGACTCTCCTAGCCATTCCATTCCCTCAGACCCACCTCCTCTTCAACCTCCCCATGCCTTGAGAGACAATCCCTTGATTCTGACTGTTTATAAGGCGCAGTGTGGTATAGTGGGAGGGAAGCACAGAATTTAGAGTCGAAACACCTGTGCTTATCTTCCACCACCACAGACGGCTTGACTGTGTCTGCTTGTTATGTAGCTTCTGAGGGCCTCAGTTTCTTCAGCTGTAAAATAGGTTTACTAATAATAGCTGACCTACCTGTTCTTGAGCCCCCTGTGAGGCCAGTGATCCCTGAC